GTGAACAAATCCCCAATAGAAACTGCTAGGGAAGGTTACCTAGAGAGCAGCTGCAAAGTGAGGAGAGGACCAAGAACAGCCCCTTAGAAGTTATCTACATTCAGAGGGGAAAAAGATGAGAAGCAAAGAGATTCTGAGGAACATTAAAAAATAGATTGGGGGGCAGTGGTGACAAGAAATAGCAATGAGGGGCTGGAGAGATGGCTCATAAATCAAGAGCACTTGTTGCTCTTACGGAAGATCTGGGTTCAGTTCCCAGAACCCACATCAGGTGGTTCACAACTATAAGTAACTCTACTTATAAGGGATCTGACATCCTCTGCCTCCCAGAGGCACCTGCATGATCATGCACATACATACACTTGGGCATCTGTACATAACATAAAATATATATTAAAAATAAATAGCAGTAACAGTAAATACTGATGTCATTGAATTGTTAAATGTCAGTATCTATTGTAAGCAATCAATATTAATCCATTTAATATTAATTACACACTATTAGATGGTTGCTATAACTACCCTTATTTCATAAAGAAACTGGAGGACAGAGATGCTAAATTGCTGAAGATTATGTAATAAATGACAAGACCCAGAATTTGAATCTAGGCAGTCTTCCGTAGACAAGAGGGTTTCAAAGAAGAAAAGAGAACCAACCATGGTAAATGTAACAAACTAGTACAGAAAACTTTAAGGTCTGCACCCTTGACAGCAGGTGGTCAGTGATAGGGACACACAAATTGGAATAAAATGGGTTAAAAAGTTAAAAGTAAAAAAAAACAAAACAAAACCCACAGGATAAAATAAAAATTTTTACAAATCATGTATCTGACAAGGGATTTGTATGCACAATATATAACTAATTATAACTAAATAATTCAAAAGACTACAACTTTAAAAACTGAGCAAGGGATGGGAGGCCTGGAGAGATGGCACAGTGGGCAAGGGCACTTGTTATGAGAGTGTGAGGACTTGAGTCAAATCTCTAGTACCCGCTGGAAGGACAGAGAGGCAGATTTTGGGAACTCAATGGCAAGTCAACTTAGCCTAAGTGGAATGCATCTGGCCCAATGAGAGATTCTGTCTTAAAATAATAAGGCTAAGATGGATAGTCTTTCTCTGGCTTCCACATGCATGCACTACACACTCACATGTGCATACACACACACACTACAAACATAAATATAAATAAGTAAATATTTTTAGAATAAGCAATTACTCTGAATAATTAATTCACCACAACAGATACCAATGTCCAGGAAGAGCAAGATAAAAAGATGTTGGACATCATTAATCCCTAGAGAAATGTAAATGAAAGCCATGCAACTCTCACAAGGGTAGCTACATAGAAACTAAAACTCTAATACCCCGCTAATGTGGAAGTAAAATGTTGTAAAGCTCTGGAAAAGCTTGGCAGTTCTCAAGAGTTAAACAAAAATATCTTGTGACCTCGCAATTCCACTTCAAGAGAAATGAAAACTTTGTCCATACAGAAACTAGCATAAGAACATCCATAATAGCATCAATTATAATAGCCCCTAGATGGAATAACTCAAACGTCTGCCCCATGATAAACGTGATGTATCCACACAATGTAACATATCACGCAACAGAAAGGGAAGAAGTACAATACACACTACCACACAGATGAGCTTTAAAAACATTATTCTAAGGGCGAGTCCAGCGGTACAGACTTGTAATCTTGCTCCTCAGATGGCTAAGGCGAGGAGGATTCCAATTCAAGACTTTTCTGGATTTCAGAGTGAGCTCAAGGCCAGCCTGGGCAACTTTAGTGAGACTTCATCTCAAAATGAAAAATAAAGGGTTAGGGAACATAACTCAGTGGTAGAGCACTTGCCCAGTACATGAGAGGCTCTCAGTTTAATTCCCAATATTCCAAAATACACCAAAAACCATTATTCAAAGTAAGTCAAGCCACTACTAAGAAATGTATTATTCTCTGTATGTACAATGAAGAGCACTGGGATGAGACAGATCACTGTGTAAAAGCACTTGCTCCACAAGGATGAGGACCTGAGTTCAGGTCCCAGCAGTCATCAAAAGCCAGCCGAAGCCGCATGCACCTGTAATCCCAGTGGTACTGGGGGCAGAGGTCGGGTGATTGCTGAGGCCTGCTGTCTACCAGCCTAGCTCAAAGCTCAGCTAGAGACTCGGTCTCAAAGCAATCCGGCAGTGACAGAGCAGAACACCTGAGGTCCTTCTCTTGGTGCATAGAGCTTGAGGAGAGAGGAAGAAGGGGAAGGAGAGGCCTCACGTAACTCTACAAAAACAGAAAATAGACTTGGGCAGTTGCTTAAGGCTGGTAATTGAAATTTAGGCAGTAATGAAAAACATGTTCTAAAATTGACTGACTCTGGGAATATATTAAGATTTGAACTGCACACTTTAAGCAAATTATATCTCAATAAAAGTGTTTTTTTTTGCCGGGTGGTGGTGGCACACGCCTTTAATCCCAGCACTCGGGAGGCAGAGCCAGGCGGATCTCTGTGAGTTCGAGGCCAGCCTGGTCTCCAAAGCGAGTTCCAGGAAAGGCGCAAAGCTACATAGAGAAACCCTGTCTCGAAAAACCAAAAAAAAAAAAACCAAAAAAAAAAAAAAAAAGTGGTTTTTTTTTTTTTTTGTTTTGTTTTTTAGTTTAGTTAGAAAGAAAATAAAAGAAATACCTGTGTGAGTAGACGGGAGGCCAAAGGAAGCTATCTAGAGGTTAGAGAAGATGTGAATATGTTTACTGACTGACACAATTGAGTGAAAAAAGACCTTCATATTTAAGACACAAAGCTGGAAAACATAGTTTATGCAGGTAATCTCAGCACTGAAGACGCTAGAGCATGATGGCTGTGAGTTCAAGGCCAGTCTGGTACTAAATAGAAAACCTCTGTCTAAATTAATTAAAAAGAAACCACGGGGCTGAAGAAATGGCTCAGAGGTTAAGAGCACTGCTTGTTCTTCCAGAGGTCCTGAGTTCAATTCCCAGTAACCACATGGTGGCTCACAACCATCTATAATGAGATCTGCTGCCCTCTTCTGGCCTGCAGGCATATATACAGACAGAACACTGTATACACAATCAATCAATCAATCAATAAAAAGAAACCACAAGTTCAGGTAAAGTCCTGGGGGAGTAGACAGGAAAAAATGGTGACACCTTTGAAAGACTAAAGCTAGAGATAACGAGTGGTGAACGAAGACTGAATGCTAAAGGCTTATATTCACAGAGGCAGACAGCGGGGAGTCTTCAGCTAATATGAGAAAGTACGGGAGAGGAAAAGGTCCAAAACAGTAATAAATATTGGGAAAACCGCTGAAATGAACAAGAAAACACTCTTGTTGTAAAAAATCTTGTCAAGTAGAACTAAGCACTATGAGAACAGTAGAAGTTTGGTTTGTTTGGGCTTTTGCTGAGTTTCTTTTTTTCAGGTGTGGGGGACTGTTGGGGCTTTATACATGCCGGGCAAATACTCTGCCACTGTGCTGTGGTTCCTTTAACAACCTTTTTAGAAATAAACTGTAAGGAGTCTAAGTTGCCCAGGATGGGCTTGAACTTGTGAGTCTCCTGTTTTAGCCTTGCTAGTAGCTGAGATTACAGGTCTATGCCACTTCGCACAGCTTAAAAGTATGTTTTAATGGAGCTAATGCATATGATCAGATGATATTCTCAGCTAGGCTGATTAGTCTAGGGTTTGCAATCCAAGATGGAACATGATTAAGTAGGGTGCTGAGGATGCTGGTAGAGATGCTTGACTAAGATCTCTGCATGGGGAAGGCAATGCTACCATAGGAAGACAGGCATTCAAAGGAAGAAATAGATTTACTGAGGGGCTCAGCAGTGTGGTGATATATGTGCACCCCAATATATTGTGTACCCTATTAGTGTACCCTAATAAACTTATCTGGGGATCAGAGGACAGAGCCAGCCACCAGATTAGACATAGAGGACAGACTGTGGTGGCACACACACCTTTAATCCTATCACTGGGGAAGCAGAGATCATCTGGACCTCTGAGTTCAAGGCCACACTGAGAACAGAGCCAGGCGTGGTGGCACACACCTTTAATCCCAGGAAGTGATGGCAGGAAGCAAAAAGGTATATAAGGCATGAGGACCAGGAACTAGAGGCTGTTAAGTTCAGCAGAGATCCATTTGGATGAAGACTCATCGAGGCTTTCAGTCTGAGGAAACAAGATCAGCTGAGGAGTTGGCGAGGTGAGGTAGGCTATGGCTTGTTCTGATTCTCTGATCTTTCAGCGTTCACCCCAATATCTGGCTCCGAGTTTTTTTTTTTATTAATAAGACCTTTTAAGATTCATGTTACAGAACAGAAAATGTGGAAAACCACATTAAGTAGGATTCATGATTGTTTATCTACAAGAACTGAGATTAATGGCCAATTCTTAGAGGAAGCTACAAGTAACTGAATTACCAAAAATATAATTATAGGGTTTAGATCAAAGAGTTTCTTAGACCAACTCATTTTAAGATGAATAAAGGGAAGCACAAAGCAATTAAATAAGTTTGCTGAAGTTGTAAGATATGAAACAGAAGCTTGAAATGACCATGAAAGCCAGTCCATTTTATCACGCCGTAACTTATAACACACAGTTTGACAGGCTGGCAGGAAACAGAAATGGCAATGCTTCTGGAGGACACTCAATGATTCTACAGTTGGCTTGAAATCCCAGGTTCCTTCCAGATGATTATGGGAAATATGATCCAGGAACAACATGAATTACAGGAAAAGTCAATCTGACATAAAACACTTGCTCTGGTAATCCATATGGAGATAATCAAGAGTTGGATGCAGAATGATATAAATACCCTAAATATTCTAATGCAAGAGCACTTTATACTTCCAAATCCCTTCAGTGTTACTTGAACAGTAAGGAGAGCTTTGCTTATTTTTAAGGCTATTTTTATGTTAGAGAAACATGAAATACTGCAGTGTGAACAGGTCTCTTTCAAGGGGCTAGATATTGCCTTACCTTTACTACCTTGTAGTCACACAAGTACTCCACCTCATAATTGTTTAGATTCCTTTTGGTGATTCCAATCGATTTACATGTGAGCTTTTCTTTTCTACATAATTCCTGAAGAGTATCAAGGGAAACTAGGCAAGGCACACACCAGGCTACAATAAGAAAATAGAATTCTTTACTAATAAAACAGCTACTAGGTTGAAACAAAAACTTAAAAACCTCTCAACTGACAATTTTATAGTCTAGAAATACACACGACAAGAAGCCAATTATGTGTGTTTAAGAAAAAGTTACATGATAAAGAACTATTTTTGGTGAATTGGATTTCTGTCTTACTGACAATGGCTAATTCTGGCTTGACCACTTAAAATACTTCATGTCTAAGCTTTCTTAGGATTACATATAAATGCAAAAGTAAAAAGAGGTAATACTTTTTACTGTTCCATTATATTCTACACAGAATGTAATTGTTCTCTTAATAAACAGCTAAGACATATTGTTAGAAATATATTAAAATATATTCTAAAACAATCACAATTTACAAGTAACCGTTGCTTCTTTTAATAGCACAGTAAGATTTTAAATCTGAAATATAGTTCTGTAGTAAAATCCATATCCTTTGGAATACTGCATGAAATCTGAGCTTCATTTATTTTGCCCATGGTGAAATGTATTATCAACATGCATAAACCAGAAAAGTCTACTTTAAATGGAGAGTATAGTGAGTTTTGTAATGCTCATTTTCTGCACTGTTTGTAATCCTGCACTGTTTTCAAGCCAGCAGTTACAAAACAGAATACTCAATGTAGATAATCCATAAACAAGACCTGAAAGTCAGACATACTAACAATAACCTTACAGAGGGCAGAAATGAACTGTGTTCCATCCGAATTTAAAACACAATTACACAACTGATGTCTAGGAAATGTAAAACTTTACTGTAGGGCTAATATAGAGATAAATACTAGATGATCAATAGCCTTCCGCCCTACCCGCTGGTGGGCAACCTAGCTCCACAACTTTAGGAAGCGCCCAATCTTTCTGGGTATCAGAGTCACTAAAAAAAAGTGAGACTGGTGAAACAAGAGGCGACCAAACAAAATGTATCATTAATTCATCACGCCGTATTTAACAGTTATTAAAGGTAGTAGGCAAAACATTTGGAGGTAAATTTCAAGGAAGGGAGAACATAATCGCTCTAGCTTCCCCCATAATCCCTTCCTCATCCTCCCCACCCAAGGACTTCACTGCAGGAAACTGAAGCATCACTTCCACACTCCAGTCACTGCAAAAGACTCCTATTTCTGGCACACGCAAACGGCAAAGTCTTTTCCTCAAATTTGCCAGAATACATTGATTGCTTAGGTGTGGTGGTTTGAGGATAGCACAGCTATAAAAAAACAAAACACTTCTTACAAATCTCTTCCATTGAAAATCTTACGGGTGTTTTGTGTAAGGCTAATCTCCTTATGCTAATCATCTCCAAAGAAGAGTCCAGGGTGTTAGTTGTTTTAAAATTTTTCGCCTAGCTGAGAATCCAAAAACACAACCCTATAATGGAGGGTGATGTTGAATACGGTAACATACGTACTCGCATGAAAATGCCATAATGAAGCCCATTATGTGTAATTACGGCGCATCGCTCAACAGAAATGCTACATTATGAGCATTTCGGAATATATCTATATCTATATCTCTATATAAACATATGTATTTTAATCTGCAAACACTTGGTTTCCAAAATTCTACAGCCTATAATGGTGGAGGAAAAAAGTTTCATTGTCCGGATTATTTTATGACATCCCGCTTATAAAATCCTTCCACCCTCCCACCTCCGCCTCGCTTCAAGGAAGTAGAGTTACGGGGATAATAAAGTGTCACCATGTGAGTGGAGCGGGGTGGGGGAAAAAGAAAGCTAGCTGGAGAACCACCTTTTCATTCCAGAACGCTTTACAAACCCGGGACTTTCAAAGGGCGCGCGACTCGGGCGCACGCACGCGCACTGCGTGCCCCCCGCCCCCCACGGGCTTCAGCATCCACATAAATAACCCGCAAGTTCCAGCCGGGCCCCCCAAAGTTTCCAGGAGGCTCAGGGGCTGTGTCTGCAGACACCCCCTTTCTCACGGGAGACACTCCACAGCGCTGCCAGGCCGGCTCGGACGCGGGCACCGCACCTCAGCCCCGCTCCCCACCGCTCGGAGGTGGCGACCGCGACCGCAGCGGCGCGCGCGCTTTCCTGCTCACCCTTCCAAGAGGCGGCGCGTGCACACACGCCACCGAGGAGGACCCGGGCCCGCGGGACTCGGAAGCACGCTCGCGCGGGGCCGGCGCGTCCCGGGCCCGGAGCCGGCCGCGAGCGTCCCGTGCTCGGCGTGTCCGCGCGGCGGCGTCCCGCCCACATCGCCGTCCGGCAGGGCTTGGGCCTCGGGAGCGGACCTGGCGGCCGGGGACACCGCGCTCCCGTCTCACCTCTCTCGGCCTCGCCTCCGGCCGCCGCCATCTTGCGGAGCTTTCATTCAAACTGGCGCGGTCAGCCGGAATAGCTCAGCTGGCCAGACGCCCCGCCCCGGCCCGCGAGGGACTCCAGAGCTGGGAGGCTTGAAGTAGCGGGGCGTCCTGACGTCAGCGGAGGCTGACCCCAGCCGTAGTAGCCAGTGCGCGTGCGCGTGCGCGGCACGGTGAAGCACGAAGGGGCGGGGCCTGTCCGCGGGGCGCTAGCTGGGGCCCCGCCCCCCTCCGGTTCCATGCTGGGTATGAGTCTAAAGGATGCTTGCCGCCATCGTTCCCCTCCCTCTTCGGTGCTTTGACTCCCTTCACAAAGGCATGGCGTGCACTTTATAAAATGCAAAATGTGCTGTGCGGGTTCGTGTGCACAGATAGCTTCTTTCCTGCCCCTGTTCCTCAGCCCTTGAACTCAACCAAGCCCTTTCACTCCCTGCCACTACAGCTCAGGATCTCAAGACTGGATGCACGTGGGCTCGCTTGGAGAGATGTGGTCTGTTTGGATCACTCAAAGAGATTCTGGTGAGTTGATATGGCCGTGTAGCAGCTGGACTCAAAGGCAGGGTCTGACCGTTGTCAAAATCCATCCAAGCAACAATTGCCAACAGTTCTTGCTTAATTAAAGCAAACTTACAAGGTATGCTTACAACAAGGACTTATTTTAGCATTCTTAACAGTCTTAAGCTGTTCTCTGTTTTTAGCCATGTACACTCCGGGAGAATTGGGTCACTGTCATTTTCACACCATTGTAAATATGAAAACTTGTAAGGGGAACCATTATACACAAAAGCCCTTCTGTAATTCCATTAGCAAGTCATGTCGATGCTATTAGCAAATACACACTGCCTGTCTCCTCTCCGTTACCATTGCTGTTTGTTACCTTTACCCACGTCATCATTTCTCAGTCAAAGAAGCCGAACTGCTTTGACCTTTAAAATTGCTCCCCTTCCAGCCATTTCCCATGTAGCTAAAGTGGCTTTAAAACATAAAGTGAAACATGCCCTTCTGCTACTTTAAATACTTCCCCACATGGCACACCTTCCCGTGCCTATGAGACCTCCTGTGATTAGAAGTCTGTTTTTCTCACTTACTTTGGACTATTTTCCCCTTTGCCCACTATGCTCTATGGCTTTTCAATTTTTCATATGCATAGTCAACTATAATACATATACAGTTCAAATACAATAGACATATACAATGCAAATGTAATAGACATGCTCAAAAATATTTTCATGTGTATTTTTTAATGTGCCAGGTACCTACTAGACCAGAAAGGAAAAGAGTATCCCCTTGAAGTCTTTTTCCTAGTGGGAAGAACAAGCAATAAGCAGTGAAGTAAATAAATACTATTGTTGTTTGGGGACCGGGTCTCACAGAGTTGAGGCTGGGCTCAAACTTGCTTTGTGTGTGAGAATCGCCTTGACTTCCTGATCCTCTTGCTTCCACCTTGCTGTGCTGGGACCTCAGGTGTGAGCTGGGACCACAGGTATGAGCTGGGACCACGGGTGTGAGCCAACACACCCTGCTCTAAATAAACGTTTAACCTGGACATTGCTTTCTAGCTCACAGGGTGTGCTCTTCCCCTTTTCATGTGGCTATCTTATTATTAGCTAGGTTTTGACTCCAGGGTTACTTCTGCAGAGAGACCTCTCAGGCTCTCTCTCTCTCTCTCTCTCTCTCTCTCTCTCTCTCTCTCTCTCTCTCTCTCTCTCTCTCTCTTCTTTAAAAGCATTTATCAAAATTTGTGTCTGTGGAATTGAAAGACTATTTTTGGCCTTGCTAAGTTTCAATACAAATTTAGGAGAGGAGGCTGGGGCAGGACAACAGCTGAGTCGAACAGTGCTTGTCTGAGAGATCTGAGACTCTGGGTTTGATCACAACACTGAATTTTTTTGCTTGTTTGTTTGTTTTTTGAGATAGTGTTTCTCTGTGTTAACAGTCCTGGCTGTCCTGGAACTCGATCTGTAGACCAGGATGGCCTCGAACTCACAGGGATCCGCCTGCCTCTGACTCCTGAGTGCTGGGATTAGAGGCGTGTTTCACTAATGCCTGGGCTGAAAAAAATTTTCTTTTTTATAAATTACTGTTTTATGAATGAAGTGTTTCCTTTGTTTATCTCATCAGGAATCCCATCAATTTTGAGGCATAGAGTAGACAGGGAGTAGACCCAGGCATTTCAGCATTTGTCAGTGTCTTTTATCTATTCCAGAACATCAACTCTCAGAGTATGGAAGAGTGGGCCTGAGACCCTTCAGGAAACCCGTGAGCACAAAACTGCAGTCTTACACTGTGGAACAACTTTGTATCCTGGTGACATGGTAACCAGCTCTGCAAGTGTCCTGTGATGTTTACCCAATAACTAGCCACCAAACGCAGTTCTCAGCCATGTCCTTGTCACAAAAATGGCACTCAGCATTGTCATGAAGATACCAAGAAGGCCTTGTCATTTGCCCTCTTTTGTCTTTTCTCATTGGTGTTCTAGAGTTTTCCAGAATTCATAGAACTTGTGTCATATATATATCCAAATATAGCTGTCTCCTGGCTAACCCAGATGTTAAGAGACTTGAAAACATATGCAATACCTCACTTGCTGTGAAGCTTTTGTTTCAAGTTATTTTTCATAAAATGATATTCCCATGAATAACATGCTCAATTACTTTTTACATTTAAAATGATTTTTAAAATCTATTGAATAACTTGAAAAAATCTTTAGCTGTATAAGTAGTTATATATGTTATAAACAAAAGCTCTTTGGGTAATTAATTTTATATACATTTTTTAAGGGAGAGAATCTCACCATGTTTTCCAGACTCTGATCTCCTGGGTTTATTGACCCTCTTGCCTCAGCTTCTGAAATACCTGGGACTGCAGGAGATGCCATACTGCTTGGTGACAAGAATTTTTAGGTGGAGAAAGGTCCTGAGATTAAACTGAGGATCTCAGTAAACACTGGCTAGCAATGGGTTTGGAAGAAGACAATGAAAGGTTGCTAAGGGGTAGACGCCACATTCTTTGAGGTAGAAGGTTAGGATTATGATCCTTCTCAGTTTTTTGTCCATCTCTGAAAACGTGATTTCCAGGGAATTGTGGAGGTTATCTTTCCCCACTTGAATGAGAGATAGAGTACAATGCACACTAGATTAAAAATATGAAGTTAAATAAGCATGTAATGTACTTAAAATATTAAGCAGTCAAAATGTAAGCTCGAAAATTAATCTTAATATTGGTCTCTCTCACCAATCATTCATACCTGTGAAAGGCCGCCAGGAGCGGAGCCGCGGGCAGCGCAGGCCGGGCCGCATCCCCGTCCCCGCGCCAGCCGCCCGCGCCCGCCATGCGCGCCCCGCAGCGGCCCGCGCGCCCGGTCCCCGCGTCGTAGTGCGGCGGGCGGAGACCGCAGGCTCCCAGCCCGGGCCCGCCGTGTCCTCGAGCCCGATCGGCATTGCTGCCCGCCGCCGGCGCCCGGTGCCGCCGCCGGTTGTGGTGGCGCAGGCCGGTAGGATTTGCTGAAGGAGGCGGAGGCAGGAGGATCACGAGTTCGAGGCCAGCCTGGGCTAAGATCCGGAAGTCACCTCGACTCGCAGGACCCACGGGCCTGAAGAAGAGGACGCAGCCCCGTCCCCCATTGCCGGCCGCCTCCGCGGCCGCCGGGATGGCCCCCCTAATGAGTCCAGGGCCTTCCCGCTCAGAGAGGGGCCGAATTGTTAGTTGCAGTACTGGCCCTTTTCAGCCTCAGACCTCTATAATTAGAAACAACATAATCCCCCTTTCTCTAGGGATCCTGTTGCCTTGACCGGCCTAATTGAGTCCATCCTAGTGACTCACAGGCCGACTTGGGACGACTGTCAGCAGCTCCTGCAGACCCTCTTAACAGTAGAGGAGAAGCAGAGAGTTTTCCTGGAGGCCCGGAAGCAGGTTCCGGGCGATGACGGGAGGCCAACCCAACTCCCAAATATCATCGATGCAGCTTTTCCCTTGACCCGCCCAAACTGGGACTTCAATACACCTGAAGGTAGGGAGCATCTACGTCTCTATCGCCAGTTGCTCTTAGCGAGTCTCCGAGTGGCCGCCAGAAGGCCTACCAATTTGGCTCAGGTAAGGAATGTGATACAGGGAAAGGAAGAAACACCCGCTGCATTTTTAGAGAGGCTGAAGGAGGCTTATAGGATGTACACTCCGTATGATCCAGAAGACCCAGGGCAAGCACCAGGTGTCATCCTATCATTTATCTATCAGTCTAGCCCAGATATCAGAACCAAATTGCAGCGGCTGGAAGGTTTCGCTAGGTTTGCCAGACTTATTGAAGGAAGCAGAGAAAGTGTTCAATAAGAGAGAAACTCCTGAGGAGCGTGAGGAAAGGGATAAGAAACAGCATAGGGAGATGAAAAAGGTTTTGGCCGCCGTTGTGTCTCAGGGACAGCAGAGAGAGGGAGATAGGTCGGGAGAGCGAAGGAGGCCACCCCTTGATAAAGATCAATGTGCTTACTGCAAGGAGAAGGGACACTGGGCCTGAGAGTGCCCCAAGAAGCCACAAGGACCCCGCCGGCCCAAGCCCAAGACAGTAGACCTACCTGGGCTACACCCTGAGCGGGGGGCACTGCTCCAGTCCTCGGAACCCCCACCAGGTTCGAGAGTTCCTGGGTACGGCTGGGTACTGCCGCCTTTGGATTCCTGGCTTTGCCGAACTGGCAGCCCCATTGTAAACCAGGGGCCATGTTAAGCGTTCCAACAGATCAAGAAGGCCTTACTCGAGGCCCCGGCTCTGGGTCTGCCAGATCTAACCAAGCCCTTTGAGCTGTTTGTGGATGAGAACTCAGGTTTTGCCAAAGGGGTACTGGTGCAAGACTGGGACATTGGAGGAGACCTGTAGCGTACTTGTCCAAAATTGGACCCGGTGGCTACAGGATGGCCATCATGCCTCCGCATGGTGGCAGCCATTGCCGTATTACTCAAGGATGCCGGGAAGCTGACTCTGGGACAGCCGTTGACTGTGCTGGCCTCCCATGCAGTGGAGGCCTTGGTCCGACAACCACCGGACAGATGGCTTTCCTACGCCAGAATGACTTACTATCAGGCCTTACTACTGGACTCAGACCGGGTAAATTTTGGGCCGACAGTTTCCCTTAACCCTGCTACCTTGCTGCCACTGCCTAGCCCCTCCGAGGAGCATGACTGCCTCCAGATTCTAGCCGAAGCACCTGGACCTGGCACCCGCCCTGATCTGAAGGATCCAGACGCTGTCTGGTACACAGATGGGAGCAGTTTCCTGGAGGAGGGGGAACGCAGAGCCGGGGCAGCTATAACCACCGAATCGGAAGTGGTATGGGCATCGTCACTCCCGCCCGGGACATCGGCCCAGCGTGCAGAACTGATTGCGCTCACCCAAGCTCTCCGGATGGCAGAAGGTAAGAAGCTCACAGTTTATAATGACAGCAGATATGCCTTCGCCACTGCGCATGTCCACGGGGAAATCTACAGACGGAGAGGCCTGCTGCCGTCCGCGGGTAAGGAAATCCCATACAAGAACCACAGAAAGAAAATGGGGGCGGACTGGGAACAAGGAAGACAAGCATATATACTAGGAGGACCGGATGGTCATGCCAACCTCCCATACCCGATATATGCTGAGATTCCTCCATGCATTGACCCATTTGAGCAAAAACAAGATGAAAACCCTATTGGACAGAGAAAACACCTGGGCAGTGCTGCTGAACCAGGATCAGGTACTCCAGCAGGTAACTTCTACCTGCCCAGCCTGTGCTCAAGTCAACGCAGGAAAGGTTCATCTAAACAAGGGGTATGGGATGCCTCAAATATTGGGGTCGGATAACGGGCCTGCCTTCGTCTCCCAGGTAAGTCAGCAGGTGGCCAAACTATTGGGGGTTGATTGGAAACTCCATTGTGCATACTGCCCCCAGAGCTCAGGACAGGTAGAACGAGCTAATAGAACAATCAAGGAGACTTTAACCAAATTAACACTTGCAACTGGCACTAGAGATTGGGTGCTCCTACTTCCCTTGGCTCTCTACCGAGCCCGAAATACTCCTGGCCCACACGGCCTAACCCCTTTTGAGACCATGTATGGGGCCCCACCTCCTGTTGTAAACTTTCTCCATCCTGATATTTCATCTTTTGCCACCACCCCTACTTTAGAGGCACATCTTCAAGCCCTCCAACTGGTGCAGAGGGAGATCTGGAAGCCCCTGGCCAAGGCTTATCAGGAGCAGCTAGACAAGCCGGTGGTGCCCCACCCCTTCCAGATCGGGGACTCCGTTTGGGTCCGACGACACCAGACCAAGAATCTGGAACCACGGTGGAAGGGGCCCTACACTGTCTTGCTGACCACCCCCACTGCACTCAAGGTCGACGGGACGTCTGCCCCCGGGATGGTAGGGGCAGAAAGATGATTAGCCTCATTAGGGTAAAAAGGACTACCCAAGGAGAAAGCCACTCATGGCGTCCCCTTACCCAAGAGCGTTGTTGGGGAACTGTCACGTCAGGAAGAGGTAACACTTACTGGAAGGGGGGGGGGCCCTGTGTAAATTCCACCTGCAACCCCCTAAAAATAAGGGAACACGTTTCTACTGTTCAGACCTTGGTATTGACCCAACAATGCCAACGACTCAACCAGGTGGAAATGGAGCCACATCCCTATTCTTCCCCATGAATGGAGGATTCCATTCCCTGAGATAAGAAAATGGGGGAATGAAAGGCCGCCAGGAGCGGAGCCGCGGGCAGCGCAGGCCGGGCCGCATCCCCGTCCCCGCGCCAGCCGCCCGCGCCCGCCATGCGCGCCCCGCAGCGGCCCGCGAGCCCGGGCCCCGCGTCGTAGCGCGGCGGGCGGAGACCGCAGGCTCCCAGCTCGGGCCCGCCGTGTCCTCGAGCCCGATCGGCATCGCTGCCCGCCGCCGGCGCCCGGTGCCGCCGCCGGTTGTGGTGGCGCAGGCTGGTAGGATTTGCTGAAGGAGGCGGAGGCAGGTGGATCTGGAGTTCGAGGACAGCCTGGGCCCTGCGGGATGGAGCAGGCCGAGAGCCGGGGACCCTGCGTGGTGGAGCAGGCCAAGGGCCGGGGACCCTCCGGGCGGTGCAGACTGGGGCCCGGGTGCCCCCGGGGTGGCGCAGCTTGGGGACTTGGGGACCCTGTGGGGGTGGCGCGGCCTGAGGACTGGGGAGCCCTGCAGGGAGGTGCAGGCCGGGACCCCGGGACTCTTCTGGGGTGGTGCTGAGGGGCCCCAGCATGCTTGCTTGGCCTGACGCCATTTTGAGCAGGGCCTGAGGAGTACGGGGAGGGTTCAGTTGGAGGACATGGGCGCAGGAACGAGCGGGGTGTCTGCGGTCGGCCACCTGGCCCCAGAACAGGGAACTGGAGGGTCGGAGGGACAGTTTGTACCCTGGATGGGAGCCAGGTCAGCAGGCGTGTCGAGCTCGGGGAAAAACCACGAGCTGTCCTGAGTTTGAACCTGGCCTCATATGAATCGTCCAATCAGAACCCTGTAAGCCATGGCCTCATATGAGTCGTCCAATCAGAACCCTGTAAGCCATGGCCTCATATGAGTCGTCCAATCAGAACCCTGTAAGCCATGGCCTCATATGAGTCGTCCAATCAGAACCCTGTAAGCCATGGCCTCATATGAGTCGTCCAATCAGAACCCTGTAGAACATGCTTCTTGCTTCTGTACCCGCCCTTCCGCTGCCCGACCCTATAAAAACCCTCCACTCCAGCCCGTCGGCGCGCCAGTCTCTTCAGCCTCTGGAGGGACTGTGTCGCCCCGGGTACCCGTGTTCCGGAATAAAGCCTCTTGCTGTTGGCATCTGACTTGTGGTTTCGGTGTGATCTCTGGGCGAGGGTCTCTCCAGAGGGAAGACTCTCTTCGGGGGTCTTTCACCTGGAACTGTGAAACACAAGAAAATTTAAACTTTAAAGTCTATTTCACAACTAGAACATAGAAATAATAGACACCACATTACTCTATACACAGCATTGCTACTCAGGGCTGTGGTGAGGTTCATGAGATATGAATTAATGCAAATAAAGAGTATTATTTGTTGAATATTGTGCTGGATAGTTTTATGTCAGCTTGACATCAGCTGAAGTCATTTGAGAAGAGGGAACCTCAACTAAGAAAATGCTTCCATGTTGGGTACAGCACACATCTTTCATCCTAGCACTTGGGAGGGAGAAGCAGGCAGATCTCTGTGAGTTCATGGCCAGCCTGATCTACTAATTAAATTCCAGGTCAGCCAAAGCTACACACAGAAACCCTGTCTCAAAAAACAAAACAAAACAAACAACAAAAAAGAAAGGAGGTGGGGGAGAAAGAAAGAAGAGAAAGTACCTCGATAAGATCAGGCTGTAGGCAATCCTGTGGGACATTTTCTTAATTAGTGATTGATGGGGGAAGGCCCAGCACATTGTGAGTGGTGCTTATCCTGGGTTCTATAAGAAAGCAGGCTGAGCAAGCCAGTTAGCAGCACTCCTCCTCCATGGTCTCTGCATCCACTCCTGCCTCCAGGTTCCTGCCCTGTTTGAGTTCCTGTCCTGACTTCCTTTGATGATGAATAGTGCTGTGTCTGTGTAAGCCAAATAAACCCTTTCTTTCCCAAAGAAGTCATGGTGTTTCATCACAGCAATAGAAACCCTAATTAAGACAGGTTTAAATGTTATCATGGTTACTCACTATCATTTTAGGTAATCTGACATTTTTTCAAATGACCTGTTTTGTGATCATACCTTTTTTATTTTGTTTTTCTTTTTTTTTAAAAAAAGATTTATTTATTTATCATGTATACAATGTTCTGTCTGCATATATTTCTTTTTTTTTTTTTGGTTTTTCGAGACAGGGTTTCTCTGTGTAGCTTTGCGCCTTTCCTGGAACTCACTTGGTAGTCCAGGCTGGCCTCGAACTCACAGAGATCCGCCTGGCTCTGCCTCCCGAGTGCTGGGATTAAAGGCGTGCGCCACCACCGCCCGGCTCTGCATATATTTCTACACGTCAGAAGAGGGCACCAGATCTCATTACAGATGGTTGTGAGCCACCATGTGGTTGCTGGGAATTGAACACAGGACCTTTGGAAGAACAATCAGTGCTCTTAACCTATGAGCCATCTCTCCAGGCCCATACTTTCTTTTTAACATTTAAATTTTTCACACATGTTAAAGCTATCAAAATGTAATGAAATATGGATTGAATGTTTGGATACAACCTTCATCTCTTAAATCATATGCTGAAATCCTACTTCCTAATATGTGGACTTAGGAAGCAGAGCCTCTGGGAGGTAACTGAATCACAAAAGTAGAGACCTCAATGGAGTTAGCACCCCTATAAAAGGGACCTTGATTAGGATACCAGGACTTGTATTTCTCCTATTTCTGTATTTGGTTATGTCCTTTAGACAGTGTCATATGCACTGGCAAAATTATAATTTGATGGGCTGGAGACATGGCTTTAACAAGTAAAGTACTATGAGGATCTGAGATCAGATCTTCAGCACCCATAATTTTTTTAAAAAGTCAAGTTTGGTGAGTAAGAGTAACCCCCATAGGCTCATATATTTGAATGCTTAGTCATCAAGGAGAGGTGGCACTATTTGAAGGGATTAGAAGGATTAGGAGGTTTTGTTGGAGGAAGTGTCATTAGGGGTGAGTGTTGAGGTTTCAAAAGCCCATGTCAAGCCCAGTCTCTCTCTCTCTCTCTCTCTCTCTCTCTCTCTCTCTCTCTCTCTCTCTCTCTCTCTCTCTCTTTCTCTCTCTTTCTCTATGGGTCAGGATATAGAACCCTCAACTACTTCTCCAGCATCAGGTCTGCCTGCAAACTACCATGATTCCCACAATGATAATGGACTAACCTCTGAAATTGTAAGTAAGCCCCCAATTAGATGCTTCCTTTTATAAGAGTTGTCTTAGTCATGGTGTCTTTTCACAGCAATAGAACAGTGACTAAGACACACCCATAATCTCAGCACTGAGAGCCAATAACAAGAGGATCTGGGGGCTCACTGGCCAGCCAATTAGAGAGCTCCAGATTCATTGAGAGACTTCAATTCAAAAAAATAACATAAAGAGTAATGGAGATACCCAATGTCAGTTTATCCTCTGATATCCACACAGGGGGCACACACTAACACAAACAGAATTATAGTTTGACTTCAGAATAAATAAATTAATATGGAAGGAAGGAAATTTCATATAAGTCCTCATGATACTTTATTCTAGAAATAATAATCTACTTCAAGAATTAAGAGACTTTTCTTATGTATTTATTATTATTTTATATGCGGCATGCATATGCCATGATGCAAAGTCAGAAGAAAACTTGACAGACTTGGTTCTTTCCTTCCACCATGGTTTCCAGGGATCTAAACCAGATGGCCAAGCTTGGCACAATCACTTTTCCCCACTAAGCCTTCTCATAGGCCTCCAAACTTGTTATAAAGGGTGCCAGACAGTAAATACTTTTTTTTTGAGACAGGGTTTCTCTGTGTAGTTTTGGTGCCTGTCCTGGAGCTCACTCTGTAGACCAGGCTGGCCTCGAACTCACAGAGATCCGCCTGGCTCTGCTTCCCGAGTGCTGGGATTAAAGGCATGTGCCACCGCTGCCTGGCAACAGTAAATATTTTACTTTGTAGGTCACAACACCCTGTTACATAGCCATGACAACACATGACTATACCTATGTTCTAATAAAGCTTAACTTATCAAAACAGGTATAGGATAGATCTGACCTGTAGGCTCAAGTTTACCAGCCTCCAATTTATTTTAAAACACTAAAGGCAATAACCATAAAGTAAAATCCTACATCATTTCCCAAACCACAAATGAAATATTTTATATTAATAATTGAATGAGTTCAGCTGGTATTTCCCTAGTTCTGAGGTCAGATAATGTCACATACACACATGCACACACGCATACACACACATCTTTAAATAACATGTAACTTTACACAGAAATAGCAAAGTACTTAGTCAAGAATATACATTTGAAGCTGTTTCCTTATTTAAAGATATGCTTTCTATTCAGTTTACCACTAATTTGATACAAAATTATCATGAAAACATTTACCTTTGCCTCCGGTGTCTTTAGGAACTTCTGAAGGGTGCTGCCATCTCCACAATAAACATTTTTAATAATAAACCACATCCATAGATGTTGCTAGGTTCTAACAGCTCCCTTGGGGGTGGGGGGTGGGGGGAGGTGTGGCATCAATGGCACAGACACCGGGAGTCAGTTGAAGGCAAATAACAAATTCCTTTAATAACAGGGAAGGCCTTATATACCCTCCTCCCAGCACCCAGTCTGTGTCACAGTCTGGTGGCATTGCGTAGTTGTCCTCATTAGCTGGGCATGATCAGGAACTTTGACATCGATCAGGAACTGACAGTGGCCAGGAACTCTGACAGCTCCTGTTGCTAGGCCCTCAGGCAGACTCCAGGTTGGCTCATAAGGAGTAGGTTATGTGCATGCCTTGGCAACTGGTCTGAGCCAATTTTCTCAACCCTATGGGCCTGTCCTACTACACGTGGAGTTTGAACAAGTTGTAGACAATATAGCTTAGAAAATTACCATGAAGTTACGGTGTTTGTTAGCTTGTTTGAAACAGGGACTCTCATTATGTTGCCCAGGCAAGTCTCTGACTTGTGGGCTAATGCCCATTTAGCATCCCAACAGCTGCAACTACAGATGTGTGCTACCATGTCCTATGGGAACGCTTTGGAACCAAGGAGAGAAGTCAATGTAAACTCTTCTCTTAGGGGGCAAAAAAATCTAGATATACTGCCCACTGCCATGATGT